CAATCATAAGAACTTCATTGAGCCTTGCATGTCTAGAACATGAAGCTTGACAAGACCTACTGTTCCATTTTTCAACCTCTGAAGGCAAGGTTCATGCCCACCCCACGGTACGAATATTTTAGAATATGATTTATGCCAGCTTAATATCTTCAATAGTAGTGCATAATGTCTGCCTTATAGTTCTTTCTTAGTCCTTGGTTCTTGATTGTAACCCTTTACTCAGGATGAGCAACATTCTAAGGTTGTTTGTGGGGGTGGGGGTGGGCTTCATGGTTATAAACCAATTTTTCGGCCATCCATTTCAAAGAATGGAGAAATTTGAGCTAATTAGAATTTCTTTTTTAGTTCTACAAGTTCCATATGGGTTTTATGTTCTATTATGTTTTGCAAGTATATATACAACTTGGTACATAAATAGTGTGAATGGTGGAGGGGCAATTCTGGCTTAATAAGGGGAGGATTCATTGGGACATCTCGATATGCATATAATGAATAAACAAGAATTTTAAATTGGTGCAAGAGTTATCAAAAATAAATATTTGAAGACCTTGTTGAGATGAGTAAAATGGACATTTGGTTCATTCAGTTCGAAGTTCAGATACAAAAGTTATGTTGTTCGAAAGATCGCAACGTTGGCTGACCGGCCAAAAACCCTTGCCAAACTCCACAGATCTCATCACAAAGGCCAAGATACTTGCCTAAGGATCCCTATAAAATTCAAATACAAGCCTACAACAAGATCAAGGGCTGGAAGACCTCTGAAGGGTCCCATAAATATATCCATCAACCTGACAAGACAACACATGTGTTAATTAACAACCACCTTCGACAGAACATCCCCGACATCCACAACAAGGCAGTTGATCCAACAGCTAGGAGTGAAAAACTCTATCTCAGTGGACTAGTCTAGAGTTAGACAAGCCCATAAGTACCCCCTCTGTTTGGAACTGACCTTCCCAAGCTATAGATAGTCCATTGTCGTCGCCACCATTCCAAGCACTGAGAATTCGAGTTCAAATCAGGCAAAGCCCTATCGTTCTAGTTGTAGAGCTAAGTGTAGGAAGGACATCAGGTGAGAATGCTGAGGAGCAGCTATAGTTATGAGGTCTGTTGTCATCCTTGTATTGGGTCACTTTAGTACACCCCAATAGACCTGAGCATTGTGTGGGTTGGGCCTGGCCGAAAAAATCCTGCCATTTCCATCCCACTAGATGAGTCAGCTGGATTTTTTGGGCCAGGCTCGGTGGACTACCCGCGCAATTTCTACTGAAAAAATAAGTAAAATGTATATTTTGGGTTGAGCTTAGGTCGAGAAAATTTTTCTAAGCAGTGGAATCTGTGTCCTGGCTCTGCGCATTAAGTCTTGCGGGCCGAGCCAGGCTGAATTTGCTCAGGTTTATCTCCACCTTCACATGGCCCGATATGTCTACTTGATGTAATTGATTGAGATCAATAAAACTTCCTCTATCGAAAAAGGAATCTATTCTTGTCAATGTTAGTGTGTGAATCCAGTCCAACACCAATGCACTAAGACATAATCAATCTTCATTTAATCCACAAACATGTTGTCAGCGTATATTGGGACCTAACTACTTCACAATTCGCCGGCATCTTTGCTAAGTGTCCATTGACTACAGTCTTCACAGACTTCAAATCTAGCCTGAAAGTTTATCATTCTGACAATTAGACTATGGGTGTTAATGTGCTTTCTCTCTGCTCTTGTTCTCCATCTGACACGGGCCTTGCGGGCCTAGTGACCGTCCGGCACACAGTGTGACACCCCCTGCAGTGTACCTATCATGCATGAGTGATCATAGCCGCCCCTCTATCATCTTGATCCTATCTTTTATCTATAAATTAATGAGTGGATCCTATAGGCTTGGTTTATATATTTGTAACCTTGTTAACAATTCAATATACAAGAATTAAGCATGACAATTTCTACTATCATGCGTGAGCAATGGGTTGTCATAATCACCAACCTAGTAGAAAGCCAATCTGTCATCCCATTCTCGAAAGTAACAGGTGATTACTTCGAGTGGAAGTTCTAGCTCTAAATAAGATTGTGACAATATTTTGTCAGGCATACTTGGCATATTGAGAAATCCAAGCAAGAACACGAATATTTTATACTTGGCATATTGACAAAACAAAACAAAACAAAGAATAGAAGGTTGGTGAAAGTCTGAGTTGCTGCATTCCATTTGGACTGGTTGGTGGAATGTGGAAAAGGAGGCACACAAAGTTACACTCACATGCTTCGCGCCAGATTTTATATGCTTCAGATTCCTGTGATATCCAAACTTTTCATAGTTTCCAGTCAAACTATCCTGCATAGCTCTAGTTCAAAAATTGTGGCCATGTTTAAAAAGTCCAAACCAAGGCTGAAAACCTTTCATGGCTTCCAGTCAAAATTACCTGCATATTGCCGTCAAAAAAAAATTACCTGCATAGCTCTCTCCTGAGATGTAAAACTCTGTGTCCTTGTACTCTGAAAATCGCTCTAGCCAGTGCACTAGGAAGCTATAAGCATCCTCAGCTAAAAAAAGGATAAGAGAAAAGGATTACATGAAATCCATTGTTAATCAGCAAGCTAGCACTTATTAATATTAATGACCGAAATTCAACAGCAAGCTAAGGCAAAATCTAATCTATAGCAGAATTGTAGCTCTAGGCCTTTTTTTCAAATAATATAGTGTCAGGCAAAACATTGTTTCACGATCAATTTACCTACAAATTCATCATTCACCCTTTCAATATCAGAGGATGTGTTGGTGTAGGAGAATCCAACCCCAGCAGGAGACTCCAAGAACAGCAGGTTGGCCTCTGTCAAGAAAAAAGAAAGACTTAACATTGTGCTTCACACAAGTGTTCCAGGCAACTGAATAAGGGCCGCATGCAAGCAACTCAAACGCACCATTGTTCCAGGCATATTTATTGAACTCCAGCGCTGCTCCTTGTCCGACAACTCTGAGAGGCCCCAGCTCAGATGCAGCTCAGGTCCTAGCGTCATTAGAAGTACAAGCTTGTCGTAAACAAAAGTGCAAAGATTAGAAAGAACAGAAGACCTAACATGAGATGAAGAAAATTCAGCAAAATTATCATTACTAAATAATGCAAATTAAGGATCACAAATACCATGAATCGACACAAGACAAAGCAAGGTCAGATGTACTAGTAAAAGTATTCCCTCCGCATGAAAATGTAAGGTGTTTGTCTTATGACAAAACTGAAACACCATACATTTCGAATGTAGTATAAACAATTTATTTGGTATGCACTATTCAACAACTAAAGAAGAGATAACAGATTGTAGCAGCTGTACACTCAGAATCTCAAGGAGTAAAACTCACTAATTATATTTCCAATGGAAGCTAAACCTTTGAAATTTTAACTGCTGAAGGTAGTATGTACAAGGAGAGCAGAAGTGACCTCCATTGAGCCACAGGAGGAGCGGCTTCTCCTCCGGCGTCGTCTGTGCCTCGAAGAACCAGTAGAAGAGCGCTCTCCCGTTGGGCTCGTTCACCGTGACGTAGCCAGAGAACTGGGACACGCTCGGGCTCTCTGGCTGGCCAGGAAGGCGTGTCACCCTGTCGGTATCCCGCTGGTCGCTGGCCAGAGACAGTGAGCAGGAAGAGAAGGTGACCAAGGCGAGAGAGGAGACGAGGCAGAGGAAGAGACGTGCTGCTGCCATCGCCATGGGTCGGTGAGGGATGGCTTGGCCGCCTGGGAATGGAAATTGGCAAGTGGAGGTGGAGTTGAGGAGTTGAGGACTTGATGTCAGGAGCTACGCGGCTGGGCCTCTTGGTCTTCCTGTCTGCCCAGTTTGTACACCCTTCCGTTGCAAAAGGCAGGGTTTTATGGCTTGTTAAATGGCTCTTGACTGTAGAGTTCAATTAGTATGGTGATTTGGTGGCAAATTAGGGAGCGTAAAATATATGTATGGTTCCAGCATCTCCAACTGATTACTTATCTTCCATCCCTTAAAAAAGACATATAGGTGACCTCTTACTATTAGTAATGTCTATCAAGATCTAGCACTAAAGCCGAGTACAAGGCACTTGCTAATGCCAGTGTTGAGTTGATGTGGGTTTAAAAGTTACTTGGTGAGTTAGGAATTCCACACACCCCTGCAGCTCGCTTATGGTGGAATAACACTAATCCAGTGTTTCATGCTTGCACCAAACATATTGAGATCGATTATCATCTTCTAAGAGAACAAGTTGCACAAAAGCTTATGGGTATTCGGTTCATTCATTCAGAAGATCAGGTGGTTGATGGTTTCACAAAGGCGCTTCCCGAGCAACTGCTGATCACATTTCGAAGTAATCTCAACTTTACATAAAGTTGTGATTAACCGAGAGTGTTAACTGTTAAGACGGTGAGCCCTAGCATCACCCGCCACCCAACCCCTGTCCTCTCGTTCTCTTGGCTTGCCGTCGCCTGAGTGAGCCGCCGGAGGCCCCCGAGGATGGTGGCAGCGGGGACCACGCAGCTATAGGCTACCGTTAGCGGTTAGGCGCTCAGCCGTTTCCCGTCCTGTTCATCGGCGTCCCGGTTCGCCAGTGCCCGGGAAGGGCAGCGCGGTGGCTTAGATCCACATCAGGGGAAGATGAATCCGGCAATGGGACACAGCAGAGGTAGGGCTCCGCGTACAAGGCGGCGGCCATGCCGATTTGGACGACTTCCCAAATTGGTGGCAGGCGACGCGTCAGCAGGCTTGTGCCCGACGGCGGCGCTCGGAGACGGGTCCCCCCCACACCCAACGCCCTTCCCCCCACTAGCCCTAGCGCCGCAGCCGCCGAAGCTTGCATCCGGTGAGACCCTATGGTGACGGCAGCAGAGGTGGTCGAGAGGGCGGCGGGTAGCGGCGAGGTGTCGGTGGCCCCATCCCTTTGGGCAGTAGTGGGTTTGGTGGAGGATGGTGGCGGACTAAACGTCGATGGCCAGTCCTCGGAAGGGAGAAGGCGGATCCAGCGGAGGTGGTTCCGTAGGCAGTCCTAGCGGTGGCGGCGACCTGGGAGTCCGAAAACCTCCTCGGTGGCGGCGGCAACCCTAGGGGCATCGGCGGCCTGAGTGCCGGTGAAGATCTCGGCGAGGAGGAGGCGGATCAGGTGGAGGCAGATCCCATTTGCAGTGGCTGCCCTAGGGGAGGCGACGGCCTTAGAGTCCCGGCGGAAGACGATATCCTCGACCGTAGTGACATAGGACTCCGGCAGAGGCGACACCATGATCCGAGTGACTATGGCTGCCCTATGGGCGGCGGAGACCTTGGAATCTGGCGAAGCGGAAGCGGATCCTGTCGGCTTACGTCTAATCGTCTAGTTCTGACTGGACGCACGACAGATTAAGGTGGGCTAACCGGCTGCACTTGACATCACGTCACTTGAAGCGGATGAAGTTGGCACCAGCGGAGGTTCGCAGCGATGGCGCACTATGGGTGGCGGCGACTTGACAACTTTCACTTGCCGAATCTGGCCGTTTTAGGAGAGGATGGCAGGAAGCAAGGATGTGACGAGGTCGTAGTTTTTCCTTTTTTTTTGGTTGTGTGTTCTTCTCTTTGTTGAGGTATGAGTCTAAGTGCTCTTGTATCCTTTTGGTGTGGATATAAAGGCCAGATTAATGAATCCATTATTAAAAAAACAGAGGGTGTTAAGATATCAGTGATTGGCGTGACTGCTTATTCCCTTGTATGCGTGATTGATTGTTTTTTCTTTTTCTTTTGTGGCAGTGCGTGATTGATTGTTGTATCTCTAGATTAGGAACGCTAGCACGAATTGGTTTATTTCCTTTCTCTGTAATCTTGTAATGCAAGCTACACTTATACAAGGCACGTGCAGGGGCTGTTCCTGGATATTTAACACGGAACCGTGATCCCTAAATGGCATCACGGTAACTCCAATTTCACAATCATCACAGTTTATCCTATGTCATCTTCTCTGAAATCTTGCTCTATCCCACCGCACCATCCATCAACGTTCAACGGTGTGTGGGAAGCTGCTCACCACGGAGGAATGTGTTGATCAGTGTCAGCCCTTCAGCAGGCTTGTTAAGGGGCACCAGGTGACCTGCACCCCTGACCGTCACCATGCTCATCCCATAGTACTCCACAAACCTCCCAGCAACCTGCATGCCACGTTGTGCCCCTCATTTTTTTTTTATTAGCATCACTGGCTACTGGTATGTTCAACGCACAAGATGTTCAGATAAGCTGTTAGTTCAGACCTACCTGTTTGTCAAGGTACCAGGGTTGCCACTGGGTCTTCATAGGCAGCTTGAGTGCTTCCACACAGTACCGGGAGCCGATCACTGGGACCCTACCATCTGCGTCACCGCTTCATTGACAAATAAATGGATGCATTATAGAGAGAGTGATTGATGGGTGTGAAGAATTCACTTGAGCATGCACTTGTTGTGAGACTTCAGAGAAGGTACACATGAAAAGGAAGTTATGCCTAACATGCATAGATGTAGGACATTCTCAGTGTGCTCAAAGAACCAGACCTGTAGAGCCAAACTCTCAGTCCTGCTTTGATGAGCTTAGAGTATATGGGTAGGACCGAGAATACCGAGAAATTGTAGGAATTCAGGATGGGATCACTGCACAAGAGATGAATGAGTTCATGTTCTTTTTGTTCCAGAAGAAATCCAGTAACTGGTACTTAAGTATATCCACAAGAGAACAGCTTTGAGGCGATCCACCTGCAGACATGCCATTTCACTGGAAGCGATCCACTGACGACATTAGCATGAAACACCTTCTGCACTTCCTTCTTGTTGAAGTAGTCCTCAGCATAGGATGAGTAGCACGGATCATAGCCAGAGAACATCCGTATCCTTCTCCTGGCATTTCGAAGATAAGCATCATTAAATTTAGGAAGGATCTTTGACCTGCTGGAACTTTCTGCATTCATATGCAAGGATACTATACCTGATCATTCATGAAGAATGCATGATTTTCAGAAGACGCTGAACTCTGGTTTAGAAGGCACTTGGGTGCATAGATGTTGTATATGTCGATCTCGTCGTACTGATTATAGACGATATCCATGACAGCATTGCAGTTATCAGACCAATTAAAATTCTTGAAGTCGCAATACTTTTTGATGCGGTCGTATATTTCATCAGACACAACTGAGTGGCTCCAGGCATACTCAGCTAGCCCTTTCGAATCATAGTAATAATTAGTAATAGGATTCCCAACCTACAATAAGTCCATTCTGAATGTATTATGTTCCAGCAGGAATTGATTTCTCATGTGCATAGCTTGAACATAACTCTCGTTTTTTTGGTTCATATACCCAATGTAAATTTTTTTTTTAAAATTATCCACATAGAAAGTTTAGAAACCTTATGCACTATCCCAAAAAAGGTGGAAAATGTTTTCTTCTGGTTTTCTGAATGTTCAATTCACGGGATATTTCATTTGTTGTAGAGATTGTGAAGACTTCTAATCAGACTTGCATTTGTTCAAAAAATATATTATGCAATATAACATTCAGAAAACCAGCAGATATACTATCAGGTGATGTATCTTTTACGTGTGAAACAATTTATTTAAAAAGGAAAATTCTTGCAGCATAAATCTAATTCAAATCCTCACAATGAACCCCTTGAGGTTGATATACGCTTTGCCCTTCTTGTCCTTATTCCTATCATAAACAAGTTCAGCCAGCTGTGGCACATAATGACCTGCAGCATAGGAAGTTCAGATTTCTTCTTCAGTGACGTACAGGAGACACGGTTCCAAAGGCATTTCTCCATAGATGTTGCTATCAACTAAGACCGATGTGATTCGTGAACCTACCACACTAGTTATTTGATCATTCTTTTAGTAGACATATGTTTGGAGATCCAATGAACCACTAAAAATATTTAACTATATGCACATACGCAGAAATGAATTTTAGTACTTGGTTTGAACCAAGTTAGGTATTCAGTATGGGTACTATTTGCATTCTCAAATTAAGACCCAAACAAAAAAAATCATTTTAACTCAGGCTTTCTTTTTTGCTCTGGATAATTGGATGACAGTCAACACATTGTGTGTCATGAAAGCGAAGGCTGAAAATGATGCCTACATAATTTTCAAAGTGTTGCTTTCTGATCTAACAATTTCTCCAGTTTGTATGATCTATTATTCGCTTAGGATACCATGAACAATGGGTTGTTGTAATGGCCAACCCAGTAGAAAGGCAAGCTGTCAACCTCAACCCTTTCTAGAAAGCAACCGATTTTTATGAGTGGAAATTCCAGTTCCAGATAAGATGATGGCACTATTTTGTCAAGCACACTTGTTATATTGATAAAACAAAGCAAAAACAGGAATACTTCGCATATTGAGAAATCCAAGCAAGAATAGAAGGTTGGTGAAAGTCTGAATTGCTGCCTTCCATTTGGACTGCATAGTGGTAGTGGAATATTGAAAAGGAGTCATATAAAGCTACACTCGCATGCTTCACACCAGATTTTGTGTGTTGTAGATTCCTTCTAGCACATTGTCTACGTTTCTCAACAGAAGTCCAGAATACTAAACCATGCCCCCCAAAAAAATATAAACCAAGGTTTAAAAGATTTCATGATTTATAGCCAAAATTACCTGCATAGCTCTCTCCTGCGATGTAGAACTCTCTGTCCCTGTACTCCGGAAACCGCTCTAGCCAATTCACTAGGAAGCTATACGCATCTTCCGCTAGAAAGCGAAAAGGATTAATTACACAGAATCCCGTTTTGTTAATCAATAAACCACATAATGACCGGAGCTGAACAACAAAGCAAAGTTTAATCTTTCGAAGAATTGGAGCCTTTATTTAGTGGGGTGCATTCTTTTATGATCAATTTAACGTTGTTTCATGATGAATTTACCTACAAAGTCATCATTGAGTTTGTCAAGGTCAGAGGATGTGTTGGTGTAGGAGAAGCCAACTCCAACAGGAGACTCCAAGAACAGCAGGTTAGCCTCTGGCAAGCACAGAAAAGACTTTCAAACAGATGCAACTAACCTTGAGAATGAAAAAGAACAAAAAATTCAGAAAGCAGAGCACCTTTGTTCCAGGCATATTCGTTGAACTCCAGCGCTGCTCCTCGTCCGACAACTCTGAGAGGCCCTAGCTCAGATGCAGCTCCATAGCCAATCGAGGAGCAACCAGGTCCTAAATCGGTAATCACAAGTTAAACCTTCCAGTAGAAACTAAAACAAATGCGCAGAAAGTAGCAAGAACTGAATGAAGTTCTATAATGTGACAAAAAGGTAATTCAGAAAAATTATCATCAATGCATACAAATGATCACAAATACCAAGAACATGAATCGGCACAGAGAAGAACAAACTACAAAAAGCAAGAACAGATGTACTACTAAGTAGTAACCAATATGACAGACAGGTCATCGCTGCTCAACAACTAAAGAAGCAGAACAAATGGTAGGAGCTGTACACTAAGAATCGAGTAAAGGTCACTAATTTCCAATGGAAACTAATCCTTTGAGATTTTGTAATAACTGCTAAGGTATGGTAGAGCAGAAGCGACCTCCGTTGAGCCAGAGGAGGAGCGGCTTCTCCTCCGGCGTGGTCTGCGCCTCGAAGAACCAGTAGAAGAGCGCCCTCCCGTTGCGCTCGTTCACAGTGACGTAGCCGGAGAACTGCGACATGCTTGGGCTCTCCGGCTGCCCGGGGAGGCGCGCCACTCTGTCGGCGTCCCGCTGGTCGCTGGTGGCGCTGGCCAGCGACTGCGAGGAGGAAGAGAAGGTGGGCAAGGCAAGAGCGGAGACGAGGCAGAGGAAGAGACATGCTGCCGCCATCGCCACGGGTACGGGTCGGTGGGAGATGGTTTGGGCGCCTGGGACTGGGAATGAATGTTTGGTAAGAATAACCTGGCTATAGAGTTTTTCGTGATTTGTTGGCAAGAATGTTTGATGTTTGGTAATAAAGGTTTTTTGCTGGGTCAAAGTCGGGAGTTTTTTTTTATACTTCCTCACACCATCGCTCATGTGCTTATGTTGCGTGTAGGATGGCTAATCATATTTATCTTTTTTTTTATATAATGGATTTATTAATTCGGCATCTATATCCACGAAGGATATACACAGTCAAAAAGACATAAGAGCACTTAGACTCACGCCTCAACAAAAAGGAAAACACACATCCAAAAGAGGAAAAAAACTATGACCACAACAATTCCTGCATCCTGGCATCCTCTCTAGAAACGGCCAGATTCGATGGGTGGAAGTCGTCAAGTCGCCACCGCCCCTAAAGTGCCATCGCTGCAAACCTCCTATGGTGCCATCTTCTTCATCCGCTTCAAGTGAGGTGATGCCACGCGTCGCCGGTTAACCCACCTTCATCCATCATCGTCCAGTTAGGATTAGCCGATTAGACGCGGTCCGACAGGATCCTCTTCCACTTCGCCAGATTCCAAGGCCTCCGTTGCCCATAGGGTAGCCGCCGTCATTGGGATAATGGCAGTCGCCTCTGTTGGAGTCCTCTGTTGTTGCCGCCGAGGATATCCTCTTCCACCAGACTCCCAGGCCTCCACCCCTTCTACTCTTCTAGGATGGGTAATCATGTTTATCTTTTACATATCTACTAATATATTATACTCTCTCTATTCAACTATAAGTTTTTTCCAAATAGACAACAAAAGCTTTGCCGCAATTTTTATGAGATGGAGAAAATAAAAGGTAAATTGTTGGCCCAATTTTTTTATTGGAAACCAGGTCCAAAAGTCACGCAACTTGGAGAGTGGTTCACTCATCCTGCACAACTTCGAACCGAACAACTGGAAACTTCACTCCCCTACTTGCTCAACTCTAAGCCAACTTGGTGGAAACGACCCACCTAGCAACTCAACTACTCTAACATCTAGCTAACAACTAAAACAACTCAGAACACCTCCACTCAAGAATGTAAATTATTCTATATTCAAGTTGGAGGATGATTTTAAAAATCTAGGGATAGCTTTAGGAGGGTAAATCTGACATTACTCAAACAAAAATGTTTTTTTTAACGAACGTAGTATTTACTTATATAAACATCCTCCAATTATTTATGGCCCTATGGCGTATATAACAGCACTTTGTGACGGTTGAAATCAAATAAAAATGAAAATATAATAGGAAAAATAAAGAAAGAGTCAATGTAAAGGAACGAAGATAGACCGGACTCACTAAGACGCTGTTGGCCCATTTAGTTGTTTATTTATTTAGGAAATGATATGATGGTCTTGGAGCGTGCCGTTACCCAATATTGTTGCGAGGCCCAAATCATTAGCCCATTGAGCGCTGCTAAGGCCCATATTTAGCCGGCCACATCCACTCTCCTGTCACGCTGGAGGCATGGGCTCAGAAACAAGACCTTGAACATTAATTTGGTGTTCCAACTTGACGATCAAAGTGCTTTAAATAAAAGTAAATGGGCTCGTGGTCCAATGGTGATAGGGTTGTCTAGTGGGATGTTATCAACCAGGGTTTAAATTCTAGTGTTGCATCTTTTTTCTAGAAGCTTTTTCTCGAAAGGCTAGAGAGCCTCTTAATCTCTTCTTTACGTGTGCACGGACGCGCACGCGTGTGGTGTGAGTGTGGAGTGTCTTTTCTCTAGATTTTTTCCAAAAATTTAGGGTACTACGCATTTCCACGCACCGGAGGCTAGAGAGCCTCTCAATCTCTTCTTTGCGTGTGTACGAACGCGCACACATGTGTGTGCTTGTGGTGTGAGTGTAGGGTGTGTATGTTGTCTGCGTCCAAGTTGTACCCGATAAAAAAATGCATTAAAAAAGTGCGTTGTGACCTTTTGCAACTACTTATTGTTTTTTATCAATAAGCCCCGACTTAACATGGGTGATCGCATTTTCCTAGATTGATTTCAGGATTTAACTGATTTATTCTTTCAGTGATAGGCGACATGCCCGTCGACAGCGAGGCGCCTGTGGTGACTTCGTCAATCTCAAGATTTACCGGTTCAACTCAGTCCTTCGGAGGTGCTCATAGGGGTAGAGTGTGTGCGTGTGCGTTTATAGAGGTGAGTGTGCGCTCGTGCATGAGAGCTTCTGCGTCTATAGCTGTGTCTAAAAAAACAAGCAGGGAATGAGCCGTAGCTCGGATGGCATTGGCTCCCGTGGAGGAGCAGTTGGTGATTTCAAGCCTTGCTCGACTCATGTTCCCCATCGGGGGGTTTTGGATGAGCCACAACTATCACATCTCTCTGTCGTGTTCTTTAAGATCTAGATATATGTTGTAGGTCTAGTGCATGCGTGTGGTGTGAGTTGGGGTGGGAGTTCAGTCTAGTGCGGGCGTGTGGTGTGAGTTGAGATACTACAATTTGAAGGTTAAGGCAATAAAAAAGTCTTTAACAAGTCTTTTTTTCAAACCATTTGCAACTACTTATTCTTTTTTATCAAGAGGCTACGTGTGGTGTGAGTTGAGGCGTGAGTTCAGATACTAAACTTATATTCAAAGGTTAAGGCAATAAAAAAAAGTCTTCAACAAGCAGCTATTCTATTCAAGCCGTTTGCAACTACTTATTCTTTTTTACCAAGGAGGCTTTGACATATGAGCAAGGGACCTTTAATAAAATGTGACCCAGAAAGGACGAACCAATCAATCGGAGATATGATTAAAAAATGATTAAAAATTAGGAGAAACAAGTACCCAGACTCAAACCAAGAGAAACTCATGTCTTCCTGAGGCGCCCTGGATTCGGATCCCTCCTCCAGCACCATAGCCGTGCTACACCTATACGTCGGGTACCCATGAAGATATAACTGAAATTTTTATTTTGAATAATAACAAACAAAAGATGCTTTTTATTAGTTGATAGAATGTAAGAAGATATTGGTAACAGAGACTGGGCCTTTACTCTTTTATTAGCATCAGTTATTATTCTTGTACCATATATATAAAATTATATAATGAAATTCTAAAACATTTCAGTTTGTGTAAGTATTTTTCAAATATAAGGAGCAGGGTCACATTTTGTATTTCGGGTTTGGCCCCAGTTTGAAGCCGGCAATGCCATCCTGACCCACCGCCCATGACCAGGGCACCATTCTTGGGCTTGGGTATGCCCATGAGGTAGATTTGGGCTTCGGCTCTTCATGACCTGGGCTACATTGGGACATGGTTCCTTCATCTACTGGGTAGATTTGGTCCTAGAAGTATACAAACAAACAACGTAGTGCAGAACTACGTCACGAGAACTGATCATAAATCAGTTCATTTGGTTTCTTATGGTGGAATCTGCACATCCGGGTTTAAGTGCTTGACTTAGCATATGTGTTCGTATTTTTCTAGATTTATTTTAGGATTTAACAGCGCTATAAGTTCTTGCCTGTGTAATTCTAAAAAAACAAAAATGAGAATAAAAAAAGGTGAAACACAGCTACACAAATCTTAAAGAAATATAGACCATTATAAGCGAGTAAAAGCCAACAAGAAAAACAGTCAGCTATTATTTATTAGCTAACCTGAAAATGAATGTTTAGAACGACATATAAAACTTCTTTTTGTTAGAACATACTTCCTTCGTTCCCAAAATTGTAATTTTTGCCTTCCATAGAAGTAAAACAATTTTAAGCTTTATCAAATCATACAAAAAATTACTAACTTTTATGGTACTGAAAAATAACATTAAATTAGTTATGGAGTATCTTTTCGTAGTAAATCTAATTGAAGACATAAATATTAATGTTTTTTTAATGAACTTGGTCAAACTTAGAAAAAATTGACTCGTCTCAAATTTAGAATTGCAATATTTTAGGGACAGAAATAGTAGGAAGTATCTATAAAATAGTTGCAATATTCAAATGGCAATCACAAACCGACCATGAAAATGACATGTTGCCGGCGTCTGCGTGCATTTCTCCCCATCTGAATTCTGAGGATCGGCCACATTATTATGTTATAATATGGCTCGACATGCACACGTAGGTTCATCCAATCCAACGTGTTTGCTGCCTAATGCATGCATGCAAAGCGAATCATCGACCTACTTTGTCTTAATCTAATCTTTGTTCGCCTAATTACTTATTATTAGACGGCGCTGCGATTGACGGCGTCGCTCACGTTCTCCTTGTCAGTTGCTCAGTGTGTTTCCTTCGCTTTCTAGGCGGGATTTTTTTTTGAAAAAAAAAAAAGGCGTTTTCTACGTAGTATAAACGTATTTGGTGGCCATGTTCCAAAAAGGCGAGGAGGCAGTTGGTACACCTATGCATGTTATGTGTTTTGTTTTCTCTATATAAGCAAACTAATCAGCAAAAAACCTGGCCGGTGTATGCGTCCTCATTTTGATTTCTCTCTGTGTGTGGTATCTCCTCTCAGAGAATGTATTATTTCGACAAGGAAAAAAAGTACAAGATAAACAAAATACATCACGTACAATTAGGCAAATAAATAACACCGACCTTTTCAGTCACCATGTTTATTGCCTTTATTTGATTGGCATCTACACACATCAGCACTTTAAGCAAAGTGTCAAACTTAGATTGTTAATTAATTGAATGCTGCCTTCATCGTGGTCCTTAATTCTATTTTGATGTCAAGAGGAATAGACAAAAAGAGACTCCATATGTATGTACCACTATATATATATGTTTGTAAAAAAACAACATTTCCACATATACTGAGCAACAATTATTTGAACTTGTCCTGTTAATATAACTTCATCAAAATTGTTTCGTTGTCACAAGCACTGCTTTACTAATTTATCCCACAAATACTCAACCATCAAATCTTCAAATAAAACTATGCATGTTGGTATTCTTCAAATCAACCTACAATGGATGGATGTAGTAAGTGCCACGTTTAGT